GAACAACCAAGGTTAGGGATTGTAGAATTGGTCTAAGTTCAAAGCATTCCACAGATAGATGACTAACTTCACAACGAGACTTATGTGCCAACTAAGGAAGTCACTTAGCGAGAAAAGTCTACAATAAGCTCCAAAAGAATTGCTATCAAGGAAAAACATGCCAAGGATTGCCAAGCAAAAGACAACTACGAAACACAAGATAACACTCAAGACAACAACGAACACGATGATCACGGGAAAAACAAGGATAGGCTAGAGGAAAGGGTTACCTGCCAACTCTTCCTCCACCAAGCCCTCCGACTCAGCCTGTGAACGCGTCATCACGAAGACCCTCCCAGGTGGCCTAGCTCCAACTGCTCCGCGACCCGAGCTAACTCCCAATGCTCCTCCAGCTCCCGGGGGTGGCGGCAACGCTCTCTGACCGGCTAGCTGAGGACGCTCCGCGATCTTGTGACCTCGATCTCCGCATCGGAAACACTTAAACGCCTGGCCAGGACAAACTTGGCCCGCGTGCACCTTCCCACATCTTCGGCACGGAAGCAACTTAGCTTGGTCCCCTTGCTCCATCATTTTAGGTCCTTGAGATGAAGATGACACCTGCTTGGCCTGGAAACCCGGTCTTGGCTTCTTAAAGGTAGAAGAACCTCCGCCCTCAGTCCTCTTCCTAGCTTGCTCGTACGATCCTCTCTGAAGCTGCTGCACGCGAAATAGATCGGCGACACATACGTAAGCGTCCTTAAGAGAACTCGGCCTACTCACAGTCAAAACTTTTCGCGCCTCATAGTTCAGACCGGCCACGAATTTCTCGACTTTAGCGAGTTCTGTAGGCACGAGCATCCTCGCAAAACGTGCCAACTCCAAGAACCTCTTGTGGTATTCAACCACAGACATGGAGCCTTGCTGCAGGTGGAGGAACTCTTCATACATGGCAGCGCGCACATGTGTTGGGTAGAACCTCTCGCGCATTCTGTCCTTGAGCACGGTCCAGTCGAACTCGGGTTCTTCAAGAAGAGCCGGACCTTCATGGACCCACCACAAATCCGCTTCTTGGCAAAAGTAAAACGTTGCCATCTCCACTTTCCTTTCTTCGGGGCAGCCCACAACGGTAAAGATCTTGTCAAACACCCGTAGCCACTCTTCTAAGACTACCGGGTCTTCCTCGCCGGCGAAGGTTGGCGGCCGATGTCCCGACACTAAACGTCCGACATCACGGTGCCCAGCAGGAGGAGGAGGCGGCACAGCGTGATTGTTGTTCAACAAAGATTCACTGTACGTCTGCATGGTCTGTGTCAGCTGGTGGAGGTTCTGAGCGAGCTGCTCGTTGGTTGGGGTTTCCGGGGTGCGTGCGCGAGGACGAGGAGGCATCGCACTTCTACAACAACAACATGATTACGAAAAGATAGCAAACAAGCAAAGAACAAAAAGCAACACACAGCTCACCGCGCAACCTAGAGTCCTAAGGCTAACACTTAGCATCTTAAGGTCGCTTAGAGGTCTCAAAACACACTTAACCACTTAGAAAGTCTAGACTTAACTCTTCCTAGGCTCAAACCTAGGCTCTTATACCAACTGTAACACCCCTCCCCCCAAAACAAGGTATAATAAAAGCCTTAACGCATGCAGATAACGTAACAAAACACTAGCACAGCGGAAGAAAAATGATAACCGGATAACATAGAATCCAAACGGGGGTGTTATGCCACGCTTATCAACACGATAAACGCTATGGGCAAATCTGCATGGTTTACATCTATCTAAAAACTCATAAGTCTAAAAACCAAATCGGCTCACAGGCCGTACAACAAGGGAAAGATACTACACTATCGGGCACTAGACATCGCGCTCGACTAGACATCACCTGTAAGAACAAAAAGATAAACATGGGACGATGCCCGGTCAGCGAATAATGCTGGTAACCCACCAATACATGTGAAATAACATACATAAGTAAGGTATAAGGTGTAAAACCATTTTCGAAATGGAATACATATATATAAGTGTAAGACCAAGAGTCAAAGCCAACATAAGACTCAACAATCTCACAAGCAACACGGGAACACATCCCAAGACCACAAGAACAACACGACTCACCAAAGAGTCAAGGCATGATCTATCATCACTCAATAGATCAAAACCCGACAAGTACAACGCGAAAGAATAAGACGCACACAACCGGCAACACATGCCAAGGCCACACATGCCTTTGTGACTACACAGGTCACAAGAGAAGAACACACAACACCGGCTACAATAGCCCTCGTGACATCACCCATCACGAGTTGGTATGCCTGCCTTATGCCCTGTTCCAACCTTATGGCTACCCCCAACCTTGTATCTTCATTCCAACCATTACCTCCAGGACCCCTTGTACTTCTTAGTCCAACCTTTTCCCTCCTGGGACTGTCGTCCCCCCACCAACAAACCACCAACAAAACCACCAATTTCATAGTACATAAGGTACCGTTCACACACATGGAGACACACGCCTTACCCAAGAAAATACGTGAACCTGACACACAGGTCACACCTCCATAATCACGTCATGGCCACCACGAGGACCGCTGCAATACTGTTGGTCCCGAAAGGGTGGCGAGAAGTCTAGAGGGGGGGGGGATGAATAGACTTCTCTAACTTTTTAAACTTTCTTCTAAAACACACAAGGCAAATAACACTTTGGTAATTTCAACTCTAAGTAACAAGCATCAACAAGATAAACAACTTAGAGTGTGCAGCGGAATAAGTAGCGGTAAAGTGTTATGCTTAATAGTGCGGTGCTCAAAGAGATATTCTAAACATGCAACACGTTAGAAATACTTGATATGGTTCAAGGATGATGTATGCAAAGTTTGGCTTGCATGCAAACGTGGGAACTATCAAACCCAGACAGATAAAGATATGCGATAAATCGTAATCGGGTTAGTTCGCAGTTAGAATAAGCATGCACAAAATATATGAGCAGTATGTAAATAGAGAGCGAGATTTATAGTGGTTCAGAGGTGGTGTAATCCTCCTAGTCCACTCTTCTCCTTTCACTTCAAGGAGGAAATTCACTATTCTTCGATCACCCAGATACAATAGTGAATAAGTGTCCACCGACACTTCTCCGAGTGCTTCGCACAAAGCTACACTCCTCCAAGGTTTTACGCAAGCTCCTCTTGTTACTCCGCCTTCCCGAGTACTTCGCACCAAGCTGTACTCCTACACCACGAGAACTACGCACAAAGCTACGTCCTCACAGGATTTTCACAAGCTCCTCTTGTTACTCTGCCCTTTACACCGAGTGCTACGCACAAAGCTACACTCAACCAGGGTTTTTCACTCTCTCTAGTTACTCCGCCCTCTTTCTACACTCAGTAGAGAATCTACAAAGAGATAAAAAATTTTCTCTCCCTCAGACTTGAATGTAATTCTATGAAGCTCTGTTTTCCCCCTTTTCGGCTAATAAAGAAAATATAGCTTGTATCTTTTGCTTGTATGTCTTAGCCGTTGTTCAAGTTGTTGAACTGCTCTATCACTTGGGGTTGTTATCTGTACTTGTCTTCAAGTCTGCTTGGACAATTTATAGCTAGTGAAAGTTATTTGCCCGTTGATCAACTTTCGATCTCGATCATCCATTTTGAATTGTAGTTGATCAAAAGATATTGTCAACTTGATCTGAAATATTAGGTAGATGTCATTTCTCCTTTTGTCAGATGATTTGAATAATTTGCCCGTTGCCGTGTCTTGAATTTTGTAGCCTCCAAAATTTTAATAAGTTCGGCGCGGCAAGCTTGATATTTCTTGTTCTTCATAAATGTTCTGACATGTCAAGTTGATCAAATAATTTATCTGCTGATTCTTGCTTGAGTATAAAATAATTTCTCCGCGAATCAGCATTCTTCGAGCGTCTCCAGTTCCACCGAAAAAACTTGATGTTCAGATGAAAATATATCAGATATTTTCTCCTTTGTGATTCTAACAAAAATGATATACTGGAACCTCTGTAAAAACTTCATAGTTGTCCATGGTGAGATGCTCTGTTTCAAATTTAAGCTTGGTCCACCATACTGGGCGTGTTTATAGCTTGTGAAACTTGTGCATTTTACTTAGTCTCCATACTCTTAGCTAGTCTCCAATATATTAGAGCTAGTCTCCCATACGGTCTAATATACTTGAGCTAGTCTCCCATACGGTGGAGGTTAGTCTCTCATACGGTCCAAGCTAGTCTCCATTCGGTCCAAGCTAGTCTCCCAAGTAAGTTAAAAATGCTTCACTTCAGATTTGAACTTAGGATCATTTGGCATAGCTCACACACGTTTCTTCTAACTCCTCTAGCATAGTTCTTGGTGACTTATTCGCATCATAATTTTGTTAAGCTATAATCCCGCTTAACATCTAAAATCAACTTGTGATTTTCCAGACTTGTACATGGGTTGCATGATATGGGTGCACCATACTCTGTAGACTTAAACTGACTCAAATAGAATAAAAATGGGGACTACTTGATTTTTCAAAAATACATTCGGCTCATCAAAATTTAAAAAATATTCCTAACAATTTCCCCCTTTTTGATGATGCTGAAACTTATACCCAAGTCATTTTGGCTTTGTCAATTTTGAAAAATAATTTCTTTTTATTCCATTTTATTTCGACTAGCCAATTGACGGGTTTGACAAAAATTGAGACTTAGAGATTTTAAAATTGGACGATCCTAAACGTATACTTGAGAATTTGATCGTGGGGTATTTAATTTTCTTTTAGCTTGAATTTTTCTTCCCCCTAAATTTTATATTCTCATTTTATACGTGTTACAATATTAATTCTAAGTCCAAATTAAAATCTTGTGACATAAAAACACAAAATAAATAAATTAACTAAGACATATACTAGTATGGTACGAAATATTGTCACCATGCAATTTCAACCCATTTTAGCTTAGCATAGATATGATATCAAAGAGTAATGTGCTAGCTAAAATAATTTATACACCAAAAATTGATTTGTCAATCGAAATTTTTTACCTCCCTCTCAACTTTGCATTGATGTATGCCCGTAGCTTCTTGAAGTCATCTTCGTAGCTCTTGTTTTGGTACGGGGCAGTCACTTGTCCAATGATGTAGTAGCCGTAGGCTTCTCTTATATTTTCTCCTCTCAACACGTCGGCTTCGTGCCAAGTAATGCACTCATCAAATGTTCGGCCATCGCTCATTTGCTCACTTCGGTGTCCGAACTCCGTTTGAAGCTCTTGCAATTTTTGTATCCTCGTGGCAATTGGCTTCGGCATAGGTGCAATCGGCGTAGGTGGAAACACACCTTGAGGAGTTGAGCTTGAGCTAGGACAAGTACCTCTAAGATAGTCTATCATGCTCCCTCGGCTTCTAGGTGTTGTTGGTGGTCGGACAAGTTCCACAAGTGGTCCTCTTGGTCGTGGAGCCCTCGGTTGGGATGACGCATAAGCATAGGCTTGTGGTACAAAATGACTTGCCAATCCTTCCCCCTTTTCGGCAGCATTGATGAACCTTTGAAAGCTGTCGGTGGAAGAATTTTGCTTGTCACGAACTCCTTCAAGTAGATCCAAGTTGATACGGGATTGTTGTAGAAGGCCATTCACTTGTTGCTCCAAAAGTTTAAGCCTTGAAGTTGTTTCGGACCCACACTTTCCCATTTCAACAAACAATTTGATCACTTCATTTTTCAATTCTCCCTTGGCCGAATCAATTTCATTTTTCAATAAGCCTTGCCTATTGAACAATTGCACAACACGGTCCACCATGTCCTTGTGGTAGCCATCAAGCTTGTTATCCATTGCATCCACCTTGGTGTTTAATCCTCCCGTAGACTCTTGAAGAATTGCTTTGACATCCCCAACAATTTGTTCCCTTAAGGCTTGAGCATTGAACGTGGGTTCACTTTGTACGGGTGGCGTTGGATTCGGCAATGGGTGTGCAAAATCATCTTGCGTTGTGGTGATCATTGTGTCAACAAGATTAGGTTCGGCTTCCTCGGTGTTGTAGCAAATCATCAATGTATTTCGGTTCCTTGGATGGTGTTGATCATAAAACTCATAGCAAGGTGGCAAATTCCTTGTCTCATCCAAATTTAAAGAAACCCCTTGACTTGGTGCATTTTCATCTTCACGAATAGACTCCGTAACCTCCGTGACGGGATGTGGAAAACAAGACTCAAAACTCAAATTTTCATCCCCGACATTTGCAGGATACGGATCAATCTCCGGGAGCCCTACATCATCATTCCTCACCAAAGATCCCTCTCTGGGTCCTCTTCGGCTATCCTCCAAAGACAAAACGGTTGCCCGGCGAATATCATTTGCGTCAAATTCACCTATAGGCACTTCGGATGTGGCTTCAACTAGGACACTTTTCTCGGTTCTCTTCTTCCTTGCAAGTTTAGTCAAGAAGCATGAATTAATTACCGAAAGACGGGTAACTCTAGCAAGGTCACGTGAGCCTATCCAAATCAACACCAATTCTTCTCTTTCCAATGTATTTGGCCCTATTGTTTCGGCCAACATGCTATGGTCTCCTAATCTCCATGCTCTCCATTCTAGTGCTCTTTTATACTCCTCCAAAAGTGCACTATCCGCCCCAATTGTTGATATCTCATCATCACTTCCAACTTCAACTAAGTCACTCACACCAACATCAACTTCCATTCTATTTGCCTCAACAAACCCGTGGCTCTCAAGGATAATTGGGTTCGGATTTTGAGTGGTTAAGGGTCTTGAGATTGGGTGGCTTGATTGTTCTTCGTTGGATCGGACGGCATGGGTGTTTGATCCTTCATGGCTAGGTTCTCGGATATATTGTTTAAGATTTTGGAAGGGGTTGGGCAATTTTCTTTTTCGGGTGGGTTTTGGTAGGCTTGTGGGTAAGGTAGGATTTTTAGGTTCATTGGAGTTGGGTGGCCGAAAGAGGTAGCTATGGTTTGTAATATGTTTGGCTTTGGTAAGGGTGACATTTTTGGTTCTCAAAATCTCACCAACGGCAAACCCGTAACCTATCTCCTGTTGAAACCATCCATCCACCAAAGGCTTGGCCTTCCTTATAGACTCACACAACCTTCCAAACATAAAGGCACCCAAATCCACACAAACATTATTCAAAATAATGTCCATAATCAACAATTTTTCTTTTGACAACTTGTCACGGCAATGATACCGGGATTCTACACATTTATGAACAATATCCAACAACAATCCATAATCCTTTTTTAAATCTCTCTTGTTGCCATTAACCTTCGGAGATAGCGGTGCGTTTGCATCGCGTACCTCGGCCCAAATGGCATTAATATCATGCACATGATTTTCTACCCTCAAACTCGATTCAACAAGATTAAACATCCTCCGAAAATCATCGAGATTAATTTCTACATCAACACCTTTGATCATAGAAATAATTGAGCCATTTTCTATTCTAGCATTCATGTAAAATTCGGTCACCTCATCTTTATAGAAACCAACATATCTAAAAGTGCAAAAATTTAACAACCCACAAGATTCGAGAGAGTTGATAATTGTTACCCCAATAGATTTGTCCTCCACTTGCTTGTTAAAGTCGGTGACATCAAGAATCATCCCGCTTAGTACACGGCTAGATTTCCTTGTCCCTCCGGTTGTGAATGACTCCATCTCCACTTGATTAATCTCCATTTGAGTAGAAATAGAATTTAGGAATTTTTGGGTGAAAGATTGATGTTTCGGCAGTGAGGTCCGAAATAGGATAGAAGGAATGGGTTTTTGGATTGTGAGGTTATTTGGGTAGGATTTTGGGTTTGGGTGATGGATTTTTGTGTGTAGAAGATTTTTGTGTAGAAAATTTAGAGTGGGTGTTAGAGCATTGAGAGATTTTGGCTTTCTTCTTGTGCTATGTTTCCGGCCGGCGAGAGAGAAGGAGGAAGAAGACTCTGAGTTCTTCTAGATTTCCAATTCTACCCGTTAGAATTGAGGGAGAAGGGTGAGAAATTCCTCTTTTGCCCTCTAGTGGGTAGAGAGAGAGTATTAATCTCTTTGAGGATAAATTTGACCTTCCATATGATTTAAATTTGCCAGCTCAGATTTATATACTCCATTTGTGAGTACATGGCGCCAAAAATTATGCTTCAAATAACCGCCAACCTGGAGCAAATCAGATAAAAAAAAATCTCGAAAATAATCTGTTAGACCAATAAATATACTCCAGATAAATATTATTATTTCAATTTCATATTTCAATAAAGCTGATTTTCTGAAAAGAAACCTGATAAAAATAAATTGATCAGACAGATACCTAATATCTGAAAAGAAATTTCAAGTTCCCAAATCATTTAAAACATTTGACTTTCTAAAAATTGGCCTAACTTTTTGACTTTTGATTTTCCAAATTTGGTAAGCATTCATCAGAAAATCTATTCTTAAACAAACTCAATTACACATGCAAATATCTAAATTCCCCCTAAATATATACAATTTCATCAAAATTAACCTAATTGAAAAAATTGTTCCCCCGAAATTACATACTAATCTCAAATTAATTTAATTAAACACATTTAGCAAACAAATTACACAAATCAATTATGCTAAAACGTGACAAATTAAATAGACATACGTATCACATATATAAATTACAAATTTAGGTACGCAGATTACATAAGATAAAATTATAACACATAAATTTTATGAAAACATGTACACAATTAAACATATATCATACGTACATACCAATTTAAATTAAAGCACATAGGTCACATAAATTACATGTAATATACACAGTACGTATCAAAAATTAACAAAAATTAAGAGTTAAGGAATTGCTTAGCTCATTTCGATCATTCCCATTTCCTGCCTTAGATTTGCAAAACGAGACTCACACAACGGCTTTGTGAGAATGTCGGCAATTTGATTCTCCGTGGGAACATGATCGATTTTCAAATCTTTCTTTTCGACGTGGTCTCGGATAAAATGGTGTCGAACGTCGATATGCTTGGTTTGCGAATGAAGCACCGGATTTTGGGTTATGGCGATTGCACTTGTATTGTCGCATAAAATGCTAACATTTTCGCACTTAATCCCATAGTCCAATAATTGTTGCTTCATCCACAAGATTTGTGCACAACAACTCCCAGCTGCAATATATTCGGCTTCGGCAGTGCTCGTAGCTATGGAGTTTTGCTTTTTGCTGAACCAAGAGACCAATCTTCCCCCTAAGAACTGGCATGTCCCTGAGGTACTTTTTCGGTCTATTTTACAACCTGCAAAATCTGCATCTGAATAACCAGTTAGTGTAAAATCTCCTTCTTTGGGATACCATAATCCCACATTGATTGTTCCTTTGAGATATCGAATTATCTTCTTGGTTGCAATCAGATGACTTTCTTTGGGCTTTGATTGGAATCATGCACATACGCCAACCGAGTAGGATATGTCCGATCTACTTGCGGTTAAGTATAGTAACGATCCAATCATCCCTCGATACATCGTTGGATCGACGTCTTTTCATTCATCATCTTTATCCAATTTTTGAGATGTACTCATGGGAATTTTGACTGAGGATTTTCCATCTACGCCAAATTTCTTGATAAGATCTCTTGTGTACTTGGCTTGATTTATGAAAATTCCTTCCTCAAGTTGCTTGACTTGCAGTCCCAAAAAGTAATTTAATTCTCCCATCATACTCATCTCGAACCTGTTCTGCATGAGCTTAGAAAATTTCTTACATAAAGATTTATCAGTACTTTCAAAGATATTGTCATCAACATAAATTTGTACTAATAAACTGTGATTATTTTCTTGAATTCTAAAGAGGATTTTATCGACTAGACCTTTGGTGAATCCACAACTACTTAAGAACATCGACAAGGTGTCGTACCAAGCTCGCGGAGCTTGTTTTAACCCATACAATGCCTTCTTTAATTTGTAGACTTGATCACCAACGTCTTTTACCTCAAAACCGGGTGGTTGTTCGACGTAAACTTCTTCTTTAAGTAAGCCAATAAGAAATGCGCTCTTTACGTCCATTTGATACACAATAAAATTCTTGTGCGCTGCATATGCTAGGAATATCCGTATTGCTTCGAGTCGTGCGACGGGGGCGAATGTCTCATCAAAATCAATTCCTTCTTCTTGTGAATACCCCTTCGCGACTAATCTTGCTTTATTCATAACAATGACGCCGTCTTCGTTTGCTTTGTTCCTAAAGACCCATTTAGTGCCAATTACATTTTGGTGGATTGGTCTTGGAACAAGTTTCCATACGTCGTTGCGCTTGAATTGATCTAATTCCTCTTGCATGGCATCTATCCAACTTGGATCGGCTAAAGCTTCATCAATTTCTTTTGGCTCCAGTTGTGATAGAAAACATGAGAACATTGCGTCTTGTTGTTGGTTCCTAGTAGATGATCGCGTCTTTACTCCGTCACTTGGATCTCCAATGACTAAGTCATGTGTGTGACTCCTTAGCCATTTCCGATTTGGTTGGAAATTTGTTGGATTCTCAGAGTTTCTTTCTTGATGTGATTCCACTTGTTGTGTATTATGGACGGGTGCATCTTCGGGTTCAACTACTGGAATTTCTTCTTGTTGAATTCTGGGTGCAATCTCAGTTGTACGTGATATTTCGGGTATCAGATTGGATGTTGCCTCAATTTGGTGAGTACCCGTATCACTTGATTCTTCTACTTCCTGCAACACATTATCTTCGAAATTGTCATTAGAAATAATTAAATCACGATTACCTTCACCATTTTTGCCATTATTGTAGTGATTTTCGTTCGAACACAACGTGAATCGATTCTTCTACCACCATGGTTGATTTGTTGAAAATTCTATACGCCTTGCTGGTGGATGAATATCCTAAGAATATTCCTTCGTCCGCTCGCTCGTCAAAAGTCTTTAATTGAGACTTTCCGTTAACAAGTACAAAACATTTACAACCAAATGTATGAAAATAGGTGAGATTGGGTTTTCTCCCTTTCCATAATTCATAAGGTGTTTTGTTATAAGACTTGTGGATTAGACTGCGATTTTGAGTATAGCACGCCGTGTTAATTGCTTCTGCCCAAAATCTTTTTGGTAGACCGGCGGCCGTTATCATGACTCGTGCGGCTTCCTTGAGTGTTCGATTTCTTCTTTCAGCTACACCATTTTGTTGCGGCGTTCGTGCGGCAGACAATTGATGTAAAATTCCTTGTGAATTGCAGTAAGATTGAATCACTCTGTTCGCGAACTCTGTTCCTCGATCGGTTCGTATTGTTGCAATCTTCATGTCCTTTTCAACTTGTAGTAGCTTTAATAGCTCTGGCAGCTTTGATAAGACTTCATCCTTTTTCTTGATGAATATTGTCCAAGTGTACCTAGAAAAATCATCAACAACAACCAAAGTATATTTCTTACCACTTATACTTACTGGGTCTACTGGACCAAATAAATCCATGTGCAGTAGACTTAAGGGTCTTGATGTTGACTCTTGAGCTTTGACTTTGAATGATGCTTTGATTTGTTTTCCTTTCTGGCATGCATCACAAATTTGATTTTTCTTGAACACAATGTTGGGTAGTCCTTCGACTAGATTATTTCTAGCAAGCTTGTTGATGGTTTTGAAATTCAAATGATTTAGCCTTCTGTGCCATTCCCAACAAGCTTCATTCGAATTATTTGCCATCAAGCATACGGATTCCTTTGTTGTGCTCCAATCTACAACATACATGTTTTTCTTTCTTGATCCGGCTAGTACGCCTTCATTCGTAGATTCGTCCTTGACTTGACATTTGCCTTTATAAAATTCTACAAGATATCCTTTGTCGCAAAATTGACTTGTACTAAACAAGTTGAATTTTAATCCTTCGACATAAGATACGTCATCAATTCGTAGACCATTTTTCACAATTGCGCCAGTTCCTTTTGTCATTCCATATCGATCGTTTCCACCGAAAACTACTTTTGGTCCTTCGATACTTTTGAACTCAACTAGACTAGCTTTATTGCCGGTCATATGTCGAGAGTAACCGCTATCGAAATACCAAACTTCCTGCAAGAGAGATTAATTATTTTTAGGCACCCATGCTTGATTGGGTCCTTTTGTGTTAGTAATTTTTGGCATCCAAATCCACCTAGATCCCACTGATCCAAGAGTAGGTGATTTGTAACCATTAAAGACTCTATAATCATAACGCACTTGCGAATAATGCTTTGGTGCGGGTTGGGAAGCAGATAGTTGCTTGATTCTATGAAAAAGAGCAAATCTGGACTTGGTCCATAGTTTGTCATCAAGCGACCAATCTTGTTTTGAGGGATATAATCTCCCAACCCCAATTCTCGGAATTCTTCCATATTCCTATGAGGTTTTGTTGCACTAGACTCGTTGGTTCTCTTTGGAGATACAAATTTTTGCCTTTTAAAATTTTGTTGCCTATCCGAGATATTAAATTTTTGATTCGGCTTTGCAACATTTTTCTTGGCATTTATTTCATTACCAACTCCTTGTCTCATTGTGCTATACTGACTTTTTTCACAAATTTTACCACTGGGACTTTATTAATTAAAGTAGTTGTAGAATTAGTCAGTTTCACAGGGGTTTGAGAACATTATGGATCGTAGCCTAGTCCGGCTTTATCTACAGCGGGTTTCTGCATGTTTACCATTTTATCCATTATTTTTGATGAATTTGTAAATGATGCGATTACTTCCCGAAGGTTATGTTCTCGAACCTCTCTAGCTTTGCACTCTTCTTGAAGTCGAACATTTTCGGCTTTCAAATTACTCATTTCATTTAGAGAATTTAGCAATTTTTGTGACATTTCTTCCTTTTCAAGAATTAACGTATTATTACGCTCTTTGATTTGAGTATGAGTGGCCATGACTTTTTGAAAATCTTCCATAAGACTTTGAAACGATTCTTGAGTCTTGAAAGAAGTGTCAACGGAACTAAAAGAGCTAAAAGAGCTAGAAGATACCACTTCGTCGATTTCACGCGCCATATAGCATTCCTCATTTTCGGGATGTTTTGCCCACTAGGCATAGTAGCGCCGTATCTTCTTGTGATGAATCACTCTCGTCGCTAGATGATTCTTCGGATTCACTTGCTTCTAACGGATCGCTTATTAGTGCCTTCCGTTTGCCCTTTTTGAATTTCTTTTCTTTGGATTTGTATTCCACCTGTGGAGAATTATTCGAATTTTTGTCCGCCTTGGGGTGTAGACATTCGGCCATAAATGTCCAGGCTTTCTACAATTGTAACACACGTTTGTGTTATCTTCGACCGGTTCCCTTCTTGATCTTCTATTTTCTCGAAAGAAATTTCCTTGTGGTGATCCTTTGTTCTTTCGCATGAACTTCTTGAATTTCTTAACAAATAAGGAAAATTGTTCGTCAGATAAAAAATCATTATTTCCTACTGACCTTGATGTTGAGGGTTGTTCGGCCATCAATGCGGATGTTCATTCATCACGTTCTTCCTCGACTCGTGTCTTCATTTCGAACTCATACGCCTTAAGATCACTAAAGAGTTTATCCGTAGATAATGTCCTTAGATCTCTATGATCGCGCATTGCGGTCACCTTCATATCCCAATTTGTAGGTAATCCGCATAAACACTTTGAGCGATATTCCTTCTGGGGATTGGTCTTTCCCAGATCCGTGATCTCTCCAAGAATTTTGATCAATCGAGCTTCCATGTCGGTGATGCTTTTGTTCGGTAGCATTTTGAAATCTTCGAACCTCTTCATGGCAATGGTTAGTTCGTTGTCTTTTTCTTGTTCATCGCCTTCACCGATACTAATGAGAGTGCCCCATATTTCTTTTGCTGTGGTGCACTTTTGAATCTTTGGGAATATTGTGTCATCGACCGTTTGAACAAAATATCCTTGGCAATATTGTCCAATTTATTTCGCCCTCTATCTTCTTTTGTCCACTCCATTTTGGCTTTGGAATATATCGTGGAACATTTGGATCTCGTGGAGTAGCCAGTATTAGCTTCCATGATTTGGATTGGACCAGTGGTGATGACTTCCCACATTTCATCATTTAAAGCAGATAAGTGCACCTGCATACGTATTTTCCAATCATCAAATTTATCAAGTGAGAAAAGCAAATTTTGAGCAAGAGCCATATCTCTCTTCATTTGAAGTTTCGAGATCTATCTAGCAGTCAAAATTGACTCAAATAGACAACCGCTCTGATACCACTTGTTGGTCCCGAAAGGGTGGCGAGAAGTCTAGAGGGGGGGTGAATAGACTTCTCTAACTTTTTAAACTTTCTTCTAAAACACACAAGGCAAATAACACTTTGTAATTTCAACTCTAAGTAACAAGCATCAACAAGATAAACAACTTAGAGTGTGCAGCGGAATAAGTAGCCGTAAAGTGTTTGCTTAATAGTGCGGTGCTCAAAGAGATATTCTAAACATGCAACACGTTAGAAATACTTGATATGGTTCAAGGATGATGTGCGCAAAGTTTGGCTTGCATGCAACGTGGGAACTATCAAACCCAGACAGATAAAGATATGCGATAAATCGTAATCGGGTTAGTTCGCAGTTAGAATAAGCATGCACAAAATATATGAGCAGTATGTAAATAGAGAGAGAGATTTATAGTGGTTCAGAGGTGGTGTAATCCTCCTAGTCCACTCTCTCTTTCACTTCAAGGAGGAAATTCACTATTCTTCGATCACCCATGCATACGTATTTTCCAATCATCAAATTTATCAAGTGAGAAAAGCAAATTTTGAGCAAGAGCCATATCTCTCTTCATTTTGAAGTTTCGAGATCTATCTAGCAGTCAAAATTGACTCAAATAGACAACCGCTCTGATACCACTTGTTGGTCCCGAAAGGGTGGCAAGAAGTCTAGAGGGGGGTGAATAGACTTCAATAACTTTTTAAACTTTCTTCTAAAACACACAAGGCAAATAACACTTTGGTAATTTCAACTCTAAGTAACAAGCATCAACAAGATAATCAACTTAGAGTGTGCAGCGGAATAAGTAGCCGTAAAGTGTTATGCTTAATAGTGCGGTGCTCAAAGAGATATTTTAAACATGCAACACGTTAGAAATACTTGATATGGTTCAAGGATGATGTGCGCAAAGTTTGGCTTGCATGCAAACGTGGGAACTATCAAACCCAGACAGATAAAGATATGCGATAAATCGTAATCGGGTTAGTTCGCTGTTAGAATAAGCATGCACAAAATATATGAGCAGTATGTAAATAGAGGAGAGAGATTTATAGTGGTTCAGAGGTGGTGTAATCCTCCTAGTCCACTCTTCTCCTTTCACTGCAAGGAGGAAATTCACTATTCTTCGATCACCCAGATACAATAGTGAATAAGTGTCCACCGACACTTCTCCGAGTGCTTCGCACAAAGCTACACTCCTCCAAGGTTTTTCGCAAGCTCCTCTTGTTACTCCACCTTCCCGAGTACTTCGCACCAAGCTGTACTCCTACACCACGAGAACTACGCACAAAGCTACGTCCTCACAGGGTTTTCACAAGCTCCTCTTGTTACTCTGGCCCTTTACACCGAGTGCTACGCACAAAGCTACACTCAACCAGGGTTTTTCACTCTCTCTAGTTACTCCGCCCTCTTTCTACACTCAGTAGAGAAAATATACAAAGAGATAAAAAATTTTCTCTCCCTCAGACTTGAATGTAATTCTATGAACCTCTGTTTTCCCCCTTTTCGGCTAATAAAGAAAATATAGCTTGTATCTTTTGCTTGTATGTCTTAGCCGTTGTTCAAGTTGTTGAACTGCTCTATCACTTGGGGTTGTTATCTCTGGCTTGTCTTCAAGTCTGCTTGGACAATTTATAGCTAGTGAAAGCTATTTGCCCGTTGATCAACTTTCGATCTCGATCGTCCATTTTGAATTGTAGTTGATCAAAAGATATTGTCAACTTGATTGAAATATTAGGTAGATGTCATTTCTCCTTTTGTCAGATGATTTGAATAATTTGCCCGTTGCCGTGTCTTGAATTTTGTAGCCTCCAAAATTTGAATAAGTTCGGCGCGGCAAGCTTGATATTTCTTGTTCTTCATAAATGTTCTGACATGTCAAGTTGATCAAATAATTTATCTGCTGATTCTTGCTTGAGTATAAAATAATTTCTCCGCGAATCAGCCTTCTTCGAGCGTCTCCGGTTCCACCGAAAAAACTTGATGTTCAGATGAAAATATATCAGATATTTTCTCCTTCGTGATTCTAACAAAAATGATATACTGGAACCTCTGTAAAAACTTCATAGTTGTCCATGGTGAGATGCTCTGTTTCAAATTTAAGCTTGGTCCACCATACTGGGTGTGTTTATAGCTTGTGAGACTTGTGCATTTTACTTAGTCTCCATACTCTTAGCTAGTCTCCAATTAGCTAGTCTCCATTCAGCTAGTCTCCATTCCAAGCTAGTCTCCATTTAGCTAGTTGAGATTCAAACTTAGGATCATTTGGCATAGCTCACACACGTTTCTTCCAACTCCTCTAGCATGGTTATTGGTGACTTATCCGCATCATAATTGTGTTAAGCTATAATCCCGCTTAACATCTAAAATCAACTTGTGATTTTCCAGACTTGTACATGGGTTGCATGATATGGGTGCACCATACTCTGTAGACTTAAACTGACTCAAATAGAATAAAATGGGACTACTTGATTTTTCAAAAATACATTCGGCTCATCAAAATTTACAACATATTCCTAACAAATACCTTGGTGACTAGTGTCCCATACCACTAATCGTGCTATCCAGGTAAAGCCACACACGCATCACACCACAGTAGGAATCAATCAACGGATTACAACGAAGGTATGAAACATACTCAATCAAGGAATGGGTCACAGCCCAACAACAACAACGATGGATAACACAAGTTATCATCAACCAATCGGAAGGTACAAACAACACACACACTAGCATTTCGACACCGAACTAGCATGCTTATCAACGGGGAAACCAAAGATAGTTTCCGAGGAACACACAAGACACTTCACGGTCCAACGAAACACAATGTTGAACACTTAGCACGATTCAAGACACCAAAGTCCTACATGGATACCTACCATATAGTTCTATACATACGAAACATCAAGAAGACACTCAAATAGTTCCACAAAAGAACAACGGGAAGTCAAAAGACGAAATACCGAGTCAAAAGAATCACGGGGAACAAATCCCATCACAACACCACTGTGTTCCCCGCGGGTAGACCCATGGGTAGGCCGCTACCCGTGGTTCCGCCTGCGCCTGCGGGTACACACCCACGAGGCCAATGCACCTGCGGGTGGCGGCGGGTAGGGCTCTGCCCGTCGTTCCGCCCGCGGGTACATCCTTGTGTCCAAAATAATCCCTTCGGGGATTTTCAACTCCAAGTTCAAATTCAAGTCCAAAACATGCCAAATCTTACCCAATACAACAAAATGACTTGAATCATAGGAAATGCCAAGTAATGGCACAAAGGAACCCTAAACACAAGCTCTAGATATGCATTTTCACAAGACAAATGCATAAACACTCACATTTCATAGCAAAACACAAGTAGAATCCAAGAAATCACATATAGGTAAGCAAAATAGGTTTTGTAGAGCATGGCTTACCTCTTGTAGACGAAAAGACTTCACTTTACACTTCAACAAGCTCCCCACAAGGCTTACTTTCCAAACCTACTTCAAGAACAAACCAAAAGATCATAAAGATCCTACTTTTAAGAAAAAGACATCTAAGATGGAACTAAAAACACAAGATGGACTTAGATCTTACCCTCCTAGATGCCCAAATAGGTGAAAGTTTGAATCTTGGAAGCAAATCTTGAAGTCTTGGCAAGGTCTAAACTTAGCTTGGAGGAAAAGCTACTCACCTTTCTAGAGAGAAGGTAGAGCTAATGTTTTAGAAAGTGTAAGGGGTGAAATGAAGATGTCTTCTAGGTTAGGTTACAATACTAACACTTGGTGAAAGGTCAAGAATGCCCTTACTAACATTTAGAAAGTGTAAGGAACAAGGGAGCACCTTTCAAATGCTAGTCCTCAAGTATTAAAAATCAAGATTTTAGGAATTAATTCCTCAATTGAAATATGATTAATTACTCAATTAATCCATGGAACGAATGCAGATTTTTGGGGTGTCACACTCGATACTTGTAATTGGGATCTACGATGATGCAATTTTCTGCTCAGGAGG